TCTTTGTATGGTAAATTATACCGGTTCCAATTTTACTGCTACCAAAAATCTTTTAACGTTTCTGCTTTTTTTTTCTTTTAGATCAGCAGAAAAAACGATTATAATTTGCACTTAATTATCTTTTCTAAAAAAGCCAAAAAAAACCCGGTTAGCTTAATAATCCTTATACAGAGTTTTTAAAAAAAATAAGCTTTTTTTTCTTTAAAAAAACTGTAACAGTGAACCATTCATTAACATTTATGGATTTCAACGAAAGCAGCAAAGAAATTACAGAATGGTTGAGTGAGTTTTAGACTGATATTACTCTTTAATAAGTTATTTATTCGCCAAAAAAATAGAATTTGTTGGAAAAAAAAAAGAAAATTTTTTTTGATAGAACAATAGAATAAAAAAATTTTTTTTTTATTTTCTCGTAGTTTTTTGCTATTTTTTCTTCTGTTTCAAATTTTAGCCTATTCATATGTTTTCGGTCGAATTTTTATTGCAGCAACAAAAACTAAAAGAGAAAAAAAGACAAAAAAAATATGGAAGCAAAAAAAGTTTTAGCTGACTTTTAGAGGTGCTGTAAATCAGTACAAATTTGTAGCCATTAAAGAAACCAAAAAATTTCTGCTCTAATTTTCCGCATTCATTTCGTGACCACTTTCAGTTTTTTTGCTGTTATTATGCCATCTTTCTCAGTTCCCTTTTTTTGCGTATTTAATTTTAGCTTTTTTTTTTTCAACTTAGAAGTTTCTCAGTAATTGAGAATTTACAAAAATAAAAAAGCTGTAATGCTGTGCATTAGCAAAAAGACTGCAACATCAGCAATAACAAACAAAAAAAGAAAAAAAAAAAGACTTCATAGTAGACATGCGAAATCGAATTGAATGAAGTTAAGAAAAGAAGAAAAAAGAAAGAAAAAATGTGAAAAAAAAAACAAATTTTTTAAAGATTAAAATTGAATAAGTTTGTAAACAAATTGTAACAACAGTTCAATGATATGCTGCTGCTAATTTTTTTTTGTTTTCGCCACAGCAAAAACGTAAAAGCTAAAAACACTGTGTGTATGATTAAAACAAAATTGCTAAAGCGGAAACCAGCATCTTCACCACTACCACCACCACCAACACCAACACCAACACTGCCAACACCACCATTAAGAACTCTGAACTATTGGACTAACACACAGTCAACAATCAAACCAACACAATCACATCACATACACCATCGATCAGCACCTTATAGCTGCTTGGTTGTTGCTCGTTGAACGTTGCTGCTTCATCGTCCATTCTCATCACACTGGTTTTTGCATTTGGACATTCTTCATTGCCATTGATATTGTCATCCTGTAAGAAACCAAAACAATAACGTCATATTGACCCGATTATTTGGAGGTAAAAAGTATAAAGTTGGCCAGAAAAAGAAAATACAAAAAATGATGCTAATTAAAAAAAAGATCTGTAAAAGATTGATAGAAGATCGAAAATCAGGCAAAAAAAAGACAGAATTGGAGCCTGCAATAATATGACAGTTTACTGTGGTTGCAAAGCCTAATTTGGATGCAATAATCTACAAAATTATACGCCATTTACGAGACAGATGGAATAAATATTACAGTGCTGTAATAAGCAATGCAGTTCCGCGGTAAACCACGGTGAAACGTCGCGAATGCTGTGGGATACGGCAGCGGTCTGTCTAAAGTCAAGCCGATGCATACAGAGTTTGATTGATCTATGGACATAACTGTGGCAGACAATTAAAAAAAAATTGGAATAGGAGTCGGCTTAATATTTTTTTCTTTCTTTTTTTTTTGGGAGGGGGGGTCTGAATATTTTTTTTGGCGAATATTTGGCGGAAAAGAGTGATAACCAATTTCTTCAGATTACATTTCGTAGAAACAACATTAAAATGTAATGTGACTCATAATTTCTTTTTATTTTTCTATTTTATTTATCATTTGTTTAGTAAAAGAAAAACATATTAGCGGCAAACAAAAAAAAAGAAATATTTATCAGTTATCGAGAGAAGAAAAAGCAGTGAAAGGGTGCGCAAATTGAACAGTAAACTTTAGATAGCTATCAAACAGTCAGTTGACTTTTAGATGAATAAGAGAGTACATAAATGCAACTTGCAACTTCATTTGACGCTCTTAATTAAGGGGTTTAAATTGTCAAAAACTGTTTCAAAATATGGAAAAAAATAAGAAAAGCAGAGAAAGATAGCAGAGAGAAACAAAAATGAGCAACAATTCTGTTCGGAAAACCTTAACTTAGTTCTGTTTAGTAAAGTTTATTTTTTTTTTATTTTTTTTATTGTTCTTCAATAAACAGATAAAAACCTTAATTTTCTATTTTATTGTATAGACTTTAACAGCAAAAAATTTACAAAGAAAAAAAAAGAAAAAACAAATACACTAAAATTATTGCTATTTAACAACCCAAAGCAGCTTTACTGCCTCAATGGTTACCATCGTTTAAGTGTAGATAAAAGTGAAAAAATGTTGCATTTTTAGGCGAAACATTAAATTTGAAACTAAGACTAAGGCAAAAAAAAATTGACAAAAAACTTAAAACATAATAAGGTAGAGAAAAAAAAGACAGGAAACCGTTTTTTTTTTGTTTGTTGTTTAATTTTCGCTGCCTATTTACCGCTTAAATTTCATCAACTTTTACCCAAAAAATACACTTTTATTACTGCTGTCTAAAGTTATACCCCGCGATATACTGCCTTTGTTCAGTGTATAGCCGCTATCGGCGTTGCAACAGTATAATCAGAACGTGTTTTTCCTTTTTCCAGTTCTCATCGTTGTTCAGAAACTAAGTAGACAATTTTCAACAACACCTTCTGTACTCAACCACTAGGCAATAGCTAGCCAGTCGGTTAATAGACGACAAAATGTACAATTTTGAACTTATTTCTTTGTCTAGGAATGTTACTGTATTCGCTGATTATTCCTAAAGATGGTGTTCAGAAGCAACATTACACCTAGAAACTGGACAAGATCAGAATCAAGACAAAGGGGAGAAGTAGAAAAGTAGAAGAAAAAAAAAAAAACACGCACACAATCGGTTGCTGTATTTGCCGTGACAACTGTTCGCACATCTCAGTGATGTAATCAGAACATAAAATAAAATTGAAAATAAAATTCATTGTGATGATAAAGGAAAACAAAATTCTGAACTACCACTAAACCGAGCAAAAAAAATCTCTTTTCAATTTTTTTCCTTTTTTTTTGGTCTCAAAAATCATTCTTTTCTTGTTTGACTTTTTGAATCTTTTACCTTCTGACAACCGCACAAAAAAAAAGTTAAAAAAAAAAAGAAAAAAAACGTCACTAATATCCGAAAAAAAAATTAACCTTAAAAATGAAGCAAGAAGAATTTGGATAACCAAAAATAATTTTATTACTTTTTATTCCTGTTGTTTTTCTTCTGTTATTAAACAAAAAAACAAAAACGTTGTTTTATGTTTAATCCAACTGAACGTTATAATTTTTTGCATGTCGCCTCTCTGTGTATTCTTTATCTGTTTTTTCTTCAACTCAGTAAAGATATCTTCAACAAATTTAATCGTAAAAAATTGATGCAATCAAAAAGAGAAAAAAAAATCGAGGAGTTGAACAGTAATCAACCGACTCTGTTTGATATAATCAGTCAGTATTCGAAGTTCTTTGTTTAGTACGGTTAACGAATGGCGAATTGACTACTCTGCTGTTAAACCATCTCTTCATTTCTCCACTTCCATCAAAATTTTGCAAAGAAAATGATCATTTCAATAAAGTAAGGAATTTTTATTCTCGTTTGTTTTTTTAGCTGATATAATGAATAAAATATATGCAACAATTTTATAGTCAAACTTGAGCAGAAAAATTGAAAGATCTCAAAAAAACTCTTGAATTTTGTTCATTTTTTTCGATCTTTTACAGCGGATGTAAATGGTTCGGAATAACAGCTAAATTGTTCGGACCAACAATAAAACACCAAATACAATGTTTTACGACTGAGATCAAATGTTGTTTGGTTTTGTTTTTTTTTTTTTAATCTTTTATCGCCGTTATCTTTTCCTTCTTCTGTTTCCAGCAAATATCCACGGTTTACTAATTTATCTCTTTGATACCAAAAACTTTTTTCTTGCCTCTTTTTTGCTTCCAATTTGACTGCTGTTGTTCAATATTTTTTGAAGCAAACCACTAACTTTTTTCTGTATAGGATCTTGTTTTTGTCAAAAATTTTTCTTGAATACAAATTTCTCACAGAAATTTTGCGTTTTACCTCACTTTAGAAAAAAAAAAGAAGAAAAAAAATGAATTTATGTAAAGCTCAGCCAGATTTTGTATAGCGAAAAATTTTCTAAGCACTGTTGCTACAGCAGCCTATTTTTAGCTGTAAAGAAAAAATAATAATGAAACCTCGAAATAGAAAAAAAAGACTCACAATTGGTTTTGAAAAAAAAAACATTTTTTTTTACAAAGTTTAAGAATTATGCAAAAAACAAAAACAAAATCTATCAGCAAAAAAAAGAAGGAAAAACGAGAAAAAAGAACAAAAAAACTGCTGCAGCTGTTTATTTGATTTATTGTTTTGTCAACGGAAAAGGCAAAAACGGTGACAGCAAAAAAAAATTTTTTTTGAAGAAAGACAAGATGAAGAAGAAAAATTAAAGAAGATTTAGTAAAATTTGTGGATAAATTTTATGCAAAAAAAAAAAACTGATACAGCAAACCAAAATTTGATTTGTTGTAGTAAATTTTTTCTTCCAACTATATATTATATGCTTTTGCTTGATGAATAATCATAAATTTTCTCCATATCATTTAGGGTTGTTTTCTGCTATCAGCACCAGACACCCCTTATTTTCCAACCTTTATATTCGCATAACTATCTCCTTCTTTACTCCCCCCCTCCCCCCCACCCCGTCACTAATCCGTCTCTCCTTCTCCAATTTTCTTCTCCATTTTTCTTCCTGGCTTGCTTTTTTCCAGAATAATCTTCAAAAATTTGTTCTTTTACACCGTCATTATTTTATCATTACGTCTTCTTCCCGTTGCAGTAAAAGAAACTGCAAGAAAAGCCAGCAATAATAATAGCAAAAACAACAAAGATTTCCGGTGAAAAGTGTTGAATAAAAGATGAGTTTAAGCAATAGATGCTGAAAGTTATGCCGAATCAGTTGGCGACCAGTAATGTGATCTGTTTTGCAGACTGATGATTTTGTTGCCGATGTAATTTTTTTTTGAACACCTTTTTATGAAGTAAGAAAATCTAAGCTTTCTGTGAAAATAATTTAGAAATTCAGAAAATGTTTGCCAATATAATTGACTGTATTTGATTGAAACTACCAGACATCTAAATGACTGCCAACGACACACGTTGACTGATAGTAACTGAAAAATCTTTAACAGTCACATCAGTCCCAATTGATAAGATAGGCATAGGTTTATTATATAACTAAGTTTAACAACAAAACAAATTTTTGATAACGTTGGTAAGCCAGTGAAATTACTGAACGAAAAAAAAAACCATGAAAAAAGTTGTTACATCAAAATTATTTGCTATTACAGTTATATGTTGAACATCATTTTCTTTTTCTTCTTAATCTTTTCTTTAAAATTCTCTCCTTAGTTATCTTTCTTTTTTTTTGACTGATTTAATCTAATTTTGCAACATAATTGACAGTGTTTTTATCTTTTTTACAGACACATCAGTTCATTAGGAAAAAAACCAGTAGGTTTTAGCCATTATACGCTTGTTTGATGTTGCTTTTTACTATGAAAACAGCTAAAAACAGCACCAAGAATAGTCTTACCATAATACAGATGCTAAAAGAAACTACTGAAAGAGATACAACAAAAAAAAGAGAAAGAGCTGTAAAATGAAGAAGAAGATGTTGAAGAAAAAAAAAAA